TATAAAATAATTACAAACTCTTTCAACAGTCACACAATAATGATATATCATTATTAATACAAAAATTATGAAATATTACACCAAATAATTATATATTTACTATTTATAAAGTTTTAAACTAATATTAATGTGTTGTACTTATTTTAATTTTTCATTTTAGTTTGTTTTCTATTATTCAAGATTAACTTTCACTATATTTTCCTTCTCAACTATTTTATAAAACCTTCTTTAGCAAATAAACTAAATTTCTATATATTCTTTCTTCCCCACACAAATTCTCTCTCATCAACTAACAACAAAATTTTGGAGACAAAAAAGTGTGCAAAACATAGCTCCAAATTTAATATGAAAAAAAAAACATTGGAGGATGAAGTTGCTAACCTTTTAGGCACCTCCGATTTGTATATAATCACCAAAATAAATTCACTAGAAATTTTGGCATGACCTCCCCCTTTTTTGAAGAAATTTTGAAGCTTACTCGGGCTGGAGGAGGAAGAAGACATATATATATATATATATATAGGGGTGGGACTTTAGTCCCGGTTGGTGTTATGAACCGGGGCTAAAGATCGCCGGGATCTTTAGTCCCGGTTGGTAACACCAACCGGGACTAAAGTTACGATCTTACCAACCGGGACTAAAGATCCCCGGGGGGGGGCTGCCAAGACCTGACAGCATTTGAACCGGGACAAAAGATGATCTTTAGTTCCGGTTGGTAACACCAACCGGGACAAAAGATGATCTTTAGTCCCGGGGACTAAAGATCAAATATGCCCGTTACCCTTTTTAACCGGGACTAAATATCATCTTTAGTCCCGGTTTTTGTTGTAATCGGGACTATTGTGGAATTAGCCCGACCGATGAAAGATGATTTCTCCACCCGTTGCTAATGGTTAAATTTTAAGCGTCGGCATGCAAAAACCCGGAAAATCAGTTTTAGCCCTTCACGGATATCTTTTTTAGTTAGTGTATGTCACAGGGGTAGAGTGTGTTTATAGGGGTAATTATACACATGTTGTGAATGTCTATGTTTTGTACCGTTTCTAAAAAAAAAAATCATATTCATTCTCTCCCGCGCTTAATTGCATGACATGCATCTAGCGTCCTAGCAACAAACAACGACCTTCTAACTGTTGCCAAAGTTCTCACGGTACAAAACAGTGACACGCCGTATATATGCCTTGGATAAACAACGTCGACGATGAAGTGCCCAATTCACCAAAGATCGATATACAATAATACAAACGATGCTAATCTTATCCTCTGCAGGGCATAGCCTTAAATAACTAGCGTCGGTCTTGCAAGTTGCAACAGTACTGCCATCGATTTAAGCTTAATTAACTACTTGTTGTCCATGTTAGCCTACAATATGGGATCAAGCTAATCATGCATCGGTTGACAAAACAATTAGGGCGAGTACATATAAACCCTGCTTGCTGGGAAAGTGAGAAGTCGTTGTCAAAGAAAAGGATAGGGGAGTAGTCGTTGGTCAATGGCTAGCAAGCTGTTGATTTCATCTACATAAGTGGAAGGAATAGGGAAATTTCATCCTTCTTTTTTTTCCCTCTAAATAATTCGCGTCGGTCTTGCTAGTTGAAACACTGCCATCGATCTAGGCTTAATTAGCCTTTGTTGCCCATGTTAGTCGTACAACTTGAGATCAAGCAAGCTAATCGTGCTACTGTTCTTAGACGGTTGACAAAAAAATTAGGGTAAGTACGAATATACCCTGCTTGCTGGGATGTTGTCCTATCTATAATCTATATACTCTGGATCAAAGCGGAATTTAACTATTTACCACTTTTAGATTTGGCAATTGTATAAATGCCCCTCTTAGGTTTGCAGTTAATAATATGCTATTGGAGAGAGAAGTTTTTCTAATTTTTTGCCACTTTTCGCACTGTACACCACCCATGGGCTTGCCAGCGTGGAATTGCACGTGAAATGACCATTATACCCCTGCATCCAGAACCCTAAATCAGCCTTAACCTCTCCCTGTCTCTCCCGATTGATTGTATAATTCATTTGACTGATATATAACAAACAATACTTAGTAATATAGAGCTACAACAGAGACCATACATATATAGGACTACACACATATATATATATATATATATATATATATATAAGGATTAATATTTTCAGCATAAATATGCATACATATATCTCAGCAAACTGAACATGCACACAAATCGAAATAACAAGCGATACATAGCAGAAGCGCCTCAATTCATCACATCCCATCCAATATCTTAATTCATCAGCCATACAATTCATAGGTTCATTGCAGGCCACACATCATTACAAAAGCAGTTTGTTGAGATATATGTATGCATATTTATGCTAAAAATATTAATCCTTGTATATATATGTGTGCAGTCCTATATATGTATGGTCTCTGTTGTAGCTCTATATTACTAAATATTGTTTGTTATATATCAGTAACAATCAATCGGGAGAGACAGGGAGAGGTTAAGGCTGATTTAGGGTTCTGGATGCAGGGGTATAATGGTTATTTCACGTGCAATTCCATGCTGGCAAGCCCATGTGGCGGTGTACAGTGTGAAAAGTGGCAAAAAAAATTAGAAAAGCTTCTCTCTCCAATGGCATATTATTAACTGTAAACCTAAGAGGGGCATTTGAATAATTGCCAAACCTAAAAGTGGTAAATAGTTAAATTCCCCCTGGATCAAAGAAATTAAAGGATATATAGGCGAGTAATCATTGGTCAATGGCTCGAGCAATTTGTTGATACTTTCTCTGTATTAAAATATAAGCATTTTTAGTATAATGACAAATCAAACATTTTTAACTTAATAGTAAAAAAATAAAAAAAATAATCTTGTAAAATTGATGTTACTAAATTTATAATTGAATAAATTATCATAATATGTAACTTTTTTATTTAAAACATCTTACTTTTATAGATATTATTAGTTAAAATAGTATCTCGGAGACCGTATCAAAATCTAAAAATGCTTATATTTTGAGACGAAGAGAGTATCCTCTACTTATATTTTGTGTTACTGCTTACCTCAGTAACACGTTTTTGTGGATGTAGTAGCACATTGTGTTACAATAGCCTTGACCTGACGTAGTGAGAGGGAATAGGGAAATGTTCTTCATTCTTTTGTTCCGATGTTAATGTTCAGCTTCAGTTTGAGCTGGGACAGTTCATACCCAAGAGAAGAATAAAGTCTGCTTAGTAATATGTGAAACGTGATGAGCTACTGGTACCATGAATTTACTGATTAATAATCAGCTAGTGGATGAAAATAAAATGCTGATGCTTCTGACACGCCGATATATAGGAGCTGACCAACTCTTGCAGCAGCATGTATACGTTACGATGGAGATTCCCTTCTGCATAATAGAAAAAAACACACACACACACACACAGAAAAGTTAATAAGATTTTATTAATTCAATTACACATATGCTTGGAATTGACTAAGGCTCCCATCGGTTGCCATTTTACCTAAAATGGCTTATTTGGCTTATTAGAAAATTAAAATTAATTTATAAGTAAAACTTTTGTAGATTTGTTCGTAGCGACTTAAAAGCCAAAATTAACAAAAATTACGTTAAAAGCATTTCAAAATCAACTTCAAAATTAAGTTCAAAAATTCAAATTTTGGCTTATTCTTTGGCTGTTTAGGCCAAACGATGGGGCTGTAATCCAGAGGCAGAAGCAGCTAGGGAGTAGTGCTACACTGCTGCTGCTTGTGCTGATGAACCGGTTGCTTTGCCTGGTGGCTAGCGCGTCATCGTCAGCTTAGCCGTCCCTGTCATCTCGTTGTAATAAATCGTCAGCTGCTCGGCCGTGCGTTTACCTGCTGTCCCGTACCGGCCGGTTCGTCATCTTTGTTGCCATGGGAAACTTGGCTTGTTTTGATTGGGCATCTGCGAACTGGATTATACCCTAAAAATTTCGAAAGAAATACGAATCTTTGGGCCGGCTGAAAAAAAAGGAAGTTTAAATTTTGAATTTTTCATTGAAATCTTAGCCATTTGTCGTTGATGTAACTAACTAAGAGGATCATCAAGAGATACCCAAAAATCTATCTCAAAAGTTTTTTTGAGAATCCTAAACACAACTTGAGGTGCAAAAATATTTATATTTCCAAGAGGGAGATGGCCTAAAACTGAGTAACAAATTGAACTACCAGATCAGCCTACGATGGTCGCGATCGCCTCCTCCTCCCTGTCGATGATCGATCCTTCATGCTCTCCCCTCGGATCCGTGGATTGGAATCAGAACAAGGAGTTGTGGAGATTGAGATATATATACGGAGATGATAGGAGCCAGTTTTTTTTTTCAAAAATCCAACTAATTCTAGGACGATTTTGCTATACATTTATCGACAAATTTTTCCCCAAAAATTTGACAGATGTAATTACAGTACAATTGTAGTGTAATTACACTGTAACTTGTATGCAATTACACTGTAACTATAGTGTAACTTGTATGTAACTTTCAAAAATCTCTCCGTAACATGTTATTTCGGTAAAATGGAGGTCGTGGGAACAAATTCTTTCATATATGTGTGTGCTATGATTTTTTTCTTCCTCACCAAAACAAATCGTGCAATAGATCTAACGATTCAAAATTATGTGACACTTACATATAAGTTACACTGTAGTTACATGCAAGTTACAGTATAATTACATATAAGTTATAGTGTAATTACACTACGATTATATTATAATTACATTTGTCAAATTTTTGGTGAAAAATTTGTCGACAAATGTATAGGTAGTCCCGTAACCGTAGCAGCACGGAGACGAGGAGGTTGGAAGCAGAAAGGACGAAAGGGGAATAGATAATGCGCGCGAGCACGCGAGCACATCGGTGCACTCCTACTACTACTACCAGTCTATACCAGTGTTCTTCCACGTTGCTACACGCGGGAGTGGCGAGGCGTCCATGCCTCCATGGATCGATCGATCCGAATAATAAATACAGTAATACATATCCAGCACCCACATGCATGTGTAGCAGTTCGCCTAGATCCGCATTAAACTAGTCTATCTCCAGCAATTTATGGTTCACGGCTTTGAACTAAATAAGCCGCCTCCCGCGTGTCCACCCCTCTTGCCTCTGCTCCCTTTGTCCACTTGCCGCCTCTCCCCGTACTCCTACCAACTCTTCTCGTCGTCGGCGGCGGCTTCGTCCGGCTCACCGGCCGCTGCATCTCCCTTTGTGTCTTAGTTAGTTTAATCCCATTTACAAATCTTACGTGGTGAACTGATCAATTATTAGTTGAGCTGAGCTGAGCTTATAAGTAGCAGCTGCTCTGATCTGCTCAGCTCGCTTCATCACCTTCCACTCAGTCAATCGCAGCGAGAAGCCAAGAAGCACTCAACCACGCGCTGTTCGTCATGGCGAGGGTACAGCTCTGGGTGGCCGCCGCGTGCGCCGTCGTGCTCGCGCTCGCCGCGCCCTCGCTCGCCGGCGACCCCGACATGCTCCAGGACGTCTGCGTCGCCGACTTGGCGTCCCGTAAGTTGTTCTCCTCCTCCTCCTTCTTGGTTAGTAGTTTAATTTGCTCCCTTTGAATCTTTGATCGACCTCCATTGCTGAGCATGAGCTGAGAGGTGTTTGTTCCATCCCCATGGCGTACATGCAGCGGTGAAGCTGAACGGGTTCCCGTGCAAGGCGAACGTGACGGCGGACGACTTCTTCTTCGCGGGGCTGAAGAACCCCGGCAACACCAACAACCCGGCGGGGTCGAACGTGACGGCGGCGAACGTGCAGTCGTTCCCGGGGGTGAACACGCTGGGCGTGTCTATGGCGAGGATCGACTACGCGCCGGGGGGACAGAACCCGCCGCACACGCACCCGCGCGCCACCGAGATCATCTTCGTCCTCGAGGGCGTCCTCGAGGTGGGCTTCATCACCACTGCCAACAAGCTCTTCACCAAGACTGTCACCGCCGGCGAGGTCTTCGTCTTCCCGCGCGGCCTCGTCCACTTCCAGCAGAACCGCGGCCACGGCCCCGCCGCCGTCATCGCCGCCTTCAACAGCCAGCTCCAGGGCACCCAGGCCATCGCCGCCACGCTCTTCGCCGCCGCGCCGCCCGTGCCGTCCGACGTCCTCGCCAAGGCCTTCCGCGTCGACGTCCCGCAGGTGGACGCCATCAAGGCCAAGTTCAAGTGATCGTAGCCGGCCGCCGTCGATCTCCCATCATTTTCTGCATTTTCTTTCATCAACAAAACCATCTGATCTACTCATTTGATTTGGTTACGGAATAATTTTAGTGGATACTGTCTGTAGCGTGCAGTTGATTTCTTCCGTTTGTAAATCTGTTTGCATTTGTTAATTTGCCTTGGAAATAAGACTTGTTCCGTTTTGTGTGGACTAATCGCTGTATTTTTAGCGCTACAAATTGCTTCTTTCGTTAACTACGTGTAATCGACTGAAAGTCAACTGTTGGGAAACAGTGTGGAAGTATCATGGTTCAGATAAGTTGGGATCCTCGTGCAAATAATCCCAAGTTCCTGGCCACGTGCACCCGTTTGACTATGACAAATGAGAAAGTTGTGGGATTATTCACTTTGTTGCGAAAATCAACCATATGAAATTTGGTAATGCTAAATTTTGGCATATTTTGACAGTACCAAAATTTGGTAGTGCTGACTTTGTTTGCTTTGATGCAGCTGCTAAATTTTGGTAGAGTTTTAAGAGAGCTTCTAAAGCTGTCAAAATTTGTCAATGTAGCAGTGATTAAAGTATGTTTATATAGTTTTTTGCCTTACCAAAATTTAGTAATAATAAAATTTATTAAGGTTGAAAGTGACAACAAAGTGAACATATATTGTGTTAGGTTTGATCTGATAATTTAACATGTTTGTGTTTGAAAAGCTCTTAAATTATAAAAACTATAAAGATATAGCATGTTTGCATGATATTTAAATGTGATAATTGTTAGTGGATGATGATGTGGCATCTTTGCATGAAGATATACATTGAAACATTATGTGAATTATGTTGCATGATAATTTAACATGTTTATATTTGAAAAGCTCTTAAATTATAAAAACTATAAAGATATAGCATGTTTACATGATGTTTAAATGTGATGATTATTAGTGGATGATGATGTGACATCTTGTTAATTAGTGGATGATGATGTGGCATCTTGTTAGTGGATGATAATATGGCATCTTTGCATATTAAGCTTAAGGAGTTAGTGGGGGGATAACTTTATAGTATAAAATAGGATATATGTGAAACCCATTTATCATCCACACACAAAAAAAAAATTTGCGGGACCCACTGGCATGTGGGGCCCATGTGTCATCCTCTCTCTCTTCCCTCCCTTCCTCCTCCCTCTCCCCCTTCTCTCTCTCTCTCTCTCCTCACGCCGGCGAGCATCACTACGAGGACCCCGCGGAAGCGGCGGATGCGGTCGGACACGGCCTCCCCCTGCTACTTCTGCAGCGCGCCAACAGCGGCCGAGAAGCGGCGCATCCTCACGGCATCCGCGGCGGAGGGGCCGGTGGCCACGAGTTCATCGGCCGGGAGTAGCTCGGCCGCCGAGGGCGAGTGGTAGCGGATGCGGCCGTTGGTCGGGGACGGCTTCACCACTGGCAATGGATTCCCACGACGTACGGGTACGACTATGCCTTCCCGGCGACCAGAGGCGCCGCCTCGCCAGCGACGACCTTGGAGATCCACATCAAGCATTCAAGCACCTCGCCTTCCTCCTCACTTCCGTGAACGACGCCTCCCCAAAGCCCACCTCTGGATACCTGGACGTCATCGCCACCACCTGCATGCCCACATGCCGCATCCGCCGCGCGTACTCCGCCGCCGCAGCCAGGAGCACGCTCATCTCCCCCTCGTCGTCGACGTCGAACACCAGGGCGGGGTCCTCGGCGCCGTCCGCTTCCTGCTGATCCTCCTCCGTGGATCCGAGCGTGAGGAGGTTCGACGCGCGGCGCGAGGACGCGTCGACGAGGGAGAGCTCGGCGAGTGAGAAGGACGGAAGCTGGAAGACGGGGCAGGCTTTGGCGCGGCCGTTGCCTGCACGCCGCCGTAGCATCTCCAGCCCTCGCCCGCACGCCGCCGTCGCCACTCCGCCCCCCCCCCCCCCCCCCCCCCGCCGCCACCGCCGCTGATCCGGCGTCCGAACGGGGAGAGAAAAGGGGAGAGAAAAGAGAGAGAAGGAGGGAGAGGGAGGGAGGAGGAAGAAGGGATGGAGAAAGGATGACATGGGTCCTACAGATATTTTTTTTAATTCTAGTGCCACATAAGCATCACGTGAGATGAAAACCGGGTTAGCGCTGCCACGTCAGCAAAATCGTCCTCCAAAACCACTGGAGGAGTCAAATTGCATTAGTTTTAATAATTCGGGGAGTCGTCCTACCCGGTTTTGTAGTTAAGGGTCACGAATTAGAATCGGTGAACAACTAAGGGAGTCTAAGTGGACTTTTTCCGCTAAGCATACACTGGGTGCTGGCCTGCTAGTTAAGAACTTAAGATGGGCCGGCTGATGCCCAACATTCTTTTGTTCTTTTAGAATAAGTTCGAATTACGTCCCTTAACCGCAATAATATAACACACGTCCCTTAACTTGTAAAACCGGTGTACTTGAATTCCTAGGCAGTTAACAACATAGAGATAAAATTCTCGCACCGACATGCAAACTTATGTTCCGATGTAATTTACAGAAAGGTAGTACATGCAAATTACAACCTCACGCATCCCTAAACTAAAAATTAAACAACGAAGAAACCGAAACTAAAACACATTAATACAAAATCTAACGAAACAGCGATCGCTGTTTTTAATCCGAGTCTAATAGTCGTCCTTGTCCATGGTCGCCACGATGACCTCCTTCAGCACGCGGCGCGACTCCGCGACGTCCCGTTCGGCGACGAACGGGTGGTTGAGCAGCTCCGCCACCGTGGCGCGCGTGCACACGCACTTCTGCAGGCACGCGGACACGAACCCGCGCAGCTCGATCGACGCCCTCGTGTCCTCGTCCGGCACCGACGGCGGCTCGCCGTGGCTGATCTCGTAGCTGAGCCTCTCCAGCGTCCTCTTCGACGGGAGAGGCCGGGCGGGGCAGTATCCCTGGTAGAGATGCAGGACGGTGATGCCCAGGCTCCAGACGTCGGCGGCGCGGGCGACGCGCGCGCCGGCCATGGCCATGGGCGCGCACCGCTCGGGGCTCATGTACTCCGGCGAGCCGAAGCCGATGCCGGAGTAGACGGTCGAGCCGGGGCCCGGCGGGATGATTTTCGCGTCGTCGAAGTCGCAGATCTTGATGTTCCCGTCGGCGTCGGCGAGGATGTGGAACGGGTTGAGGTGGAGGTGGACGACGCCGCGGGAGTGGAGGCCCCGCAGCGCGGCGAGGCACGCCGCGGCCACCTCGGCGAGGGCGGGCTCCGGCAGCCCGCGCCCGCCGCGGCGGGACAGGGCGCGGTCCAGCGAGCCGCCGTTCATGTGCTCGAACACCGCGACGCGCAGGGACTCGTTGCGGCGGAACATGGCATGGCACCGGACGACGTGCTCCAGACCCTCCACGCGCCGGAGCACCGCCGCCACCGCCTCGTCCTCCTCCCTCCCGCCGAGGTCGTAGTACGGGGTCTTGAGCGCGAACACGCCGCCGTGGGGGCACCGGCGCAGCCGCGCCTTGTAGACCACGTTGTACAAGCCCCCGCCGAGCTCGCCGATCACCTGGAAGTCGGACATCTCGAGCCCCACGATGCCTACGATGGGCTCCTCGTCGGACTCCTCATCACGCACGACGGTGGCGGCGGCGGCGGCCGGAGCCTCGTGGTGAAAAAGCTCGTGCGGCGCCAAGATGGGTTTCGTGCCCTCGGCTTCGTCGTCACGCGCGACGGCGGCGGGGGCCCGGGGGCGAAAGAATTCGTGCGGGAAGAAGATGGGTCTCATGTTGTCAACTTCCCCAAGGACGGCGACGGCGACGGCGACGGCGGCGGTGGGTGGCGGCGCTCTGGTGGTGGTTGTGTACGTTGCGCAGGGGTGGCGTTGCGGGGAAGAGGGGCTTGCGATTTATAGTGGGCGAGGCGAGAGGCGCAGGGCGCGACGTACGCTGACTGTGTCTCGCGAGCGGCACGTACTAAGATTCTATTGAGATTTGAGGGGTCGTCAGACCGTCTCAGGGCCCACTTGTCAGTCAGTTATGTACTGAGTTCTAGCTGTTGTCCAAGTTGGTCATTGCATCTTTTGAGTAAACTGAAAATCGCCGGGGTGTTTTAATTGCGTTTCAGGAGATTGAGAAGAGAAATACTACATTCTCCTACTACCTCCATTTCTAATTACTAGTTACCGTGCACGTGTAATGCACATTTTGACAATACAAAAAAAAAATCTATGTAATCTTTTTATAGTAACATGACAATTTGTATGGTTCTCTTTATTAAACCACTATGTTGAATCACTACTTTTTAACCAACATTGATAAAAATATTTAGAGGATACAAAAGTGCTAAGCACAATTTATACATTGCGAAATTGCTGCTTTTTGGAAGCAAACAATTATAGATCAGAGTATGGATGTGGACATAAGTGCAGGATCCATTACTTCCATCTTTTGGTGATAACCAGTTCACATTCACAAAATACAATTCAGTAACACCAAAAGAATTAATTCAAAACTCACTAATTCTTCTCCATTTTTCATCAGCAAAATGACTCTTACAATTTGCAGCCATGAATGTCGAAGAGAGTCAAATCTGAAGATAACATGTCACCATAAAGCACACAACCATATATTTGCAAGGACTCCTCTGTAATTTGTATCTATTGATATTTCCTCTTAAGGCCTTGTTCGTTTAATCCCCATGAGGAGGGATTGGAGGTGATTTATTCCACACCTATTGTGGTGTGGAATTATTCCCCCTCAATCCCCTCCAATCCTCTTTAATCCCCTCCAAACCGAACAAGCCCTAAGGCATAAAAATATACGACTATTTGTGCCGAATAACAAACCATCAAAAATATCATCTTTACTCAATCAAGAAATTCATATAATTGCTGCCACATAGCCTCAACAAAAAGAGGCAAACAGGGGCTACAGACCTTCTAGTTTGGCACAATTTTTTTGAAACGGCAAGATGCAGTTTTGTATATATCAAATTATCATGAGTCAATAGATGCAAATTTTACTAAAGCTAAAAGTACATCAACAGGAAAAAAAAAGAAGCCATACACTGTTTATAATAGAAAAATCAAAGCTCCATTGCAAGTGATATACAGAGGATAAAAATGTTAAGTGTAAATGGTATGTTTAACAAACAAAGAGGAGGACCATAGGGGTGGAGTTATCGCACGGGGACGGGCGGAGGGAGCGAGTAAAGCGCGCATGGGGGTGAGCGGAGTCATCACGACCGGGGGAGAGCATAGGGTCGCCGAAATCGTTGGAATCGGTGGAGCGAGATGAGATATGAGATGGAGGGTGGACGGATGAGATTATCTGAGATGGCGGATGGACGGATGAGATGAAATAGAATGATTTCACCTGTAGGATTGAAGGGGTGAACTCCTCCTTTTTATATTAGTATAGATGGCTGTTATCAACTTCCTTGGATTTGCAACTCATGGGAATGCCTGGACAAGAAACATCAAGATCTCAAAGAAAATAATTCTTTCAAAAAAATGCACATTAATTCTTGTAAGCATAATAGAGTGCATCTATTAAATTGCAAGGGGATAAATTTCTGACCACACTTACACAAACCTTCCTAATCAACATTGCTCTGATAAAATCCTTTCCAATAAGTATTGATCCGATACAAATATAATTCCAACCAGAATTGCTCCAATAAAACCCTTGCCAAACTGCTCCCACAAAATACACTTTTCCGAATAATATTGCTCCAATAATATTATCTTTCCAATCAGCACTGCTCCGATTAATCAAAACTTAGTTCAGGTACCTGTAATCAAATCCAAAGTTAGTGATAATGATAACAATGATAATATAACTGTAGAAGAATGCATTGGATAAAATGTAGAATCACATCCAAAGTTTAGCTATACTAATAACATGAATGTTGCACATCACAATTATTGGAAAACTTCCTTGCCTAACAAACAGAGATCTGATTTTGAATTCAGATTTGAATAAATTCAAATTTTCAAATTGAATGAACCATGTGTCGTCATCTAAGGTAATCTCTAGGTCATTTTAACTGAAAGCTAATTTGAATATCAGAACAATAGACTTTTACGCATCTTCTCGCTTGCAAATTGTAGAAAGAGCCATACGATTGTAGAAAAATGAACACATGAACATTGTTAATGGACCTCGCTCCCAACTATGACTTGCAGTAGTGAAAAAGCACACACACATGGTTACTCAATATAAGTATATTATTGCACATATCATTTTAGCTATCAGTATAACTTAAATTCCATAATCTGAATATACACTAAATAACTTGAGGTATTTATTCGAACATCCAGCTATTCAAGGTAGCTTCTTTTACTTAGCATTCTATGGATAAAGAAAAGTATCACGGATCTCAGTGAAAGAAATTAGAGCTAACATGATTAAAAAACAATATGTTTTCATATCTTCAAAATTAACTCTTGGCATGTAATACTCAATTGTAGCAGAAAATAGCAACAACAGATACTAATCATTCACGCAAAAACAATCGCAAGTAGTCAGTAGAGTTGTATGCATACATATGCGGACATGCCAAAGGATAATACCAACTTTTTCAAATGAAAATCATATAAAACCAAATATTCAGAGTTGTCTGTGTATCAAGTATTTGTTCTTCTAATTACCTAAAAAAGCTATGACGAAATAGCAGCAGACCACCGGCTTATAATCACTACTCCAGCTTTGTAAAATTAGAATATACTTGCATCATTTTCAGATGCTTCAATTAGCTGATGATTTTTTTCAAGCAAAAATCTACTAAATTTTGGTTATGAAGTGTGAAGAATATACGTAGCACTCACCATCACCAACTGGTTTGCCATCCCATTCGACAATGAGCAGCAATGGGAATATGGGATCCCACTGTTGAAGAACATCACCTCAGCAACCACCTAGCATCGATGGCAGAGATGCTCACCGCGCTAGTGATCTTGAGCACGCCAGGTCTACCAACCTAGGCACCAGCGTAAGCAGCCGCTTGACCATTCAACTAGTCACCCGTTGTGTCGAACGCCGGCACCATCAGGTCAATGTCACTCGTAACAAACACCATAATCACATCGGCCCCTCAACCACGTTCCCAGCTTCGATGATGCATTCAGCCTCTACAACGGCCAGTGTATGCAACTGACCATGCCTACAAAGCACCACAAAAGTACAATGTAATCTAAATCAACATGGGCATGGACGTGTGGGTGGGGTCATACACATTCGTTCGTTCAATTGCCAATCTTTAATGGCAGAAATATCATATCAAAAAAAATCTTTTATGGCAGAAATAGACAGTTTCTTTGTTTATTCACTGCATATCTGAATCCGTACATGTGTGCTTGCCGACTTCCATTGTGCTTGAATTTTGAACCAAAAAGTTTAAAGTCAAGAATTCCACAACGTAAATTGTTAGGACTGTAGATTTACATATTAGATGAGGATTATATAGCATTTAACAGCAAAAAAAAAATGCACAACAACCTTCTTCCTCCTCCTATGCTGCATCATTGGAACCATTCTAGTCATCTGATACCGAATTAGTGAAGAAGTATCACATCGATTGGAATATTTCAAATCCTTTTGTCAGTCCCCTTGATATGTCAGGGACACATTAACGCAACAAGTGAATAGTTTTTACTCCTTCCACAATAAAACAGATTTTACTCATGGCACAGTGATTCATTATGCATTATCAGTATAAGAGCACAGTCACCAGCAAAGAAACAACGATAACAACTATAATGATAAAAACTACAGAATCACCGTTATGTCGTTTATGTAGTTTATTCAACAGAGAAGTATTTAAATTACTTGATTTCCTGGGGATGTGGCAACTATTCCATTACAGGCCTACAGGGCACCTGAACCGGCTCCATCACCAAAGAGGAGAAAACTTAGGTAATAAGTTAGATCCATGAAAATCTGCTTGATTAGTGATTATCCCCCACGCCTCTGTACATGGTTCACCTACAAGGCTACAAAGAACAGGAAGGAGATGAGGGGGAAGAAAATAATGTTTCATTGTATTTGGACATGGCGGCTGGGGTGGCTGTAGCGCAAGTGTGGGAACTCACCTCGCAGGCGTTGGAGATGGGTGTTGGCCTGCTCGATCAGGCGGCGGGCGGCCGTGGCAGTGGATGACGCCCGACGGTGGTTGACGGCCTTGATCCAATAGTGAGAGCAGTCGACGCCGGGGCAGCGGCCTGCATCCAATAGTGACGGCGATAGACGCCGGATGACAGCGAATGGTTGGAGGGCGGTGGGCGAAGGGCGTCGGATCCATCGACGCGAGGGTGATTAGCGCCGGCAAGGGTAGGCCGCGGTGGAGTGCGGCGGCGGTGGGGAACTACTTCATCTCTGTCGAGGGCAGAGGGAGGAGGCGCGGAGCGAGTAGCGCGGCGGCGGAGTCATCGCGCGGTGGAGTCATCACGCCGAGGTATAGATGGCCAGGTGGGCCGCCCGGCACGGCACGGCCCAGGCCCGGCCGTGCCTGGGCCGAGGCTTGTCGGGCCAGCACGGCCCGACCGACGCACCGGGCCGTGCCGTGCCAGCCCACGTGCCGCACTCACGGCCCAGGCACGGCCCAACACGCCTCGGGCCGGCCCGAAGGCACGATGGGCCATCGTGCTTTTCCTTAAAATAAGTCTAATTTTCCTCCCTCTTATTGGGCTGTGACATATATATAGCTTAAAAAGTCTATTTTACCTCCCTCTTCTTTGGGCTGTGGTATATAAATAGCTAAAATAAGTCTATTTAAGGTCTCTATTCTTTGGACAGTGACATTTATATGTCTATTTTTAGACCCTATACTTTGTGTGCTGGGCCTGGACTGCTGGCCCATCGTGCCGGGCCAGCCCAGCGTGTCGGTGGGGAGGCCCAGGCACGGCCCGGCGGTCGGGCCGGGCCAGCACGGGCCCGACCCAAGTCGGCCCGTGCCGTGCTTGGTCCGGGCCTCGGGCCTTATGGCCATCTATACGCCAAGGTGGGGCGGGTGCGGAGTCATCGCGCGAGGTGGGATTGTGGGAGTCAGTGCGTTGGGATGGACGGATAAGATAATTTCATCGGACGGATGGACGGATGAGATGAGATGGGGTGATTTCACCTGTAAGATTGGAGGGGTGCAACTCCTCCTTTTTATATTAGTATATATTAGATATTTTAGTATGGATGGGGACTTTCTACACCCATATACCATGACACCTTCTATTTGCAGCGACTCAAAGAGTAATGAAAAATATTAAAAAAAATTAGTACTAACATCAATTGGGATGATACAAGTCTATAAACAAATACACAATACTATATTTGATCTTTTTTTAGATAATACTTCCTCCGTTTCACAGTGTAAGTCATTCTAGCATTTCCCACATTCATATTGATGTTAATGAATCTAGATAAATATATATGTCTAGATTCATTAACATCACTATGAATGTGAGGAATGCTAGGATGACTTACATTGTGAAACGGAGGGAGTAGAATATATTTTCAACCTTTACTCAACGAACTATAGCCAATTATTACACCAATTCGCTCAGAAGCGTTCACACTCCAGAGTCCACAAAACGCCCCAATCTAACATAAAGCAAACACAAACTAATAAGCACCAACATAAGATGAAAGACCAACAATTATTGAATCCTTTTAGTGAACCTCCATCTGAAGTTGGCGAAAATCTGCATGACCGTTGATTCAAGTTTACGACATGCATTATTTATTAGCATGATGTCTTCGTCACACCTTTGTTGTTGTTGCCTTGTTGAGCCCAACACCGGAGCCAATACGTTGCCCTGAAAAGTATCTGCATATAAGATTTTGATGGTGACTTATCAGAAACCATATCATTTTTATTAAGCCATAGAGCTCAACATATTGCGGATGCTCCAATAAGGATAAGTTTTTTTTATTTTTTTTATCAATACCCACAAGCCAATACCTAAAAATATGAGATATACTATGGGAAGGATATAATCCAAAAGCAATATGGACTACTCTCCAAATGAATCTGAAAAAATGGCAATCTAAAAATAAATGATAAATTGTAAATTTTGTTTTTTTTCCTTCATGTGTAGATCAAATTAAGTCTTGTAAGTTGTACAATGTCTTATATTATCATAACATATCTTATTAAATTTTATCATTTCTTTATATACCTGTTTAAACTATATGATACATATGATTGAATTGTTTTACGGTGCACCATATTAATGGTGGGGGGAGGGACCGGAGGGTAGTATGGAAGATATCTGGCCGTTTATACGTGTGGGTATTTTGGAAAAAAAATTAGTGCAGACCGGCGGCAAACCAACGCCGCTGCAGCCCCGACCTGGATAGATGCCGTGTGGACAGAAGTCTAATCGAACGCTTGCCATGAATATGCCCAGAGAGGACGTTCGCGACGACTCGGCTCTCGTTCGAATCCGTGGAAAGGCGCGCGCTTGGCTCGACGCGTTCGAGTAGATGTTTCGACATATTATTTCGATACCCTAGATCACACAGGGACGCGAAGAGAGACGTCTTGTTAGATCGCGGCCAAAATCGCCGGCAACCGCTGCCGCCATGACAGAAGCTTTATGGATGACATAACCACCATGGCAAGAGGAGGGCAAGGGAAGGGATCCAGCCGCGGGGTTTCTTGTGACCGGACATCAGCCATTTTCGCCTGCACTAGCACATGGCATGGCAGCAAATCATTATTTTTATTTACACTGTCATTTGTGACAATGAATTTGGTACCAACGTTTGAGAAGGATCAGGTTTTAGACATCACATTTCAGATTTTACCTTCATGATTTCAGATTGCATAATTTTCTATATTGAATTTTTCAAAGGAATTGAATAAGAGAAAAATCACTTTTTTTAACACATCCATCACATTGCATGATTCAGAACACCCAACATGCCATGTATATTTCAGATTAAAGAATACATTGCACATTTATACCTTGCAAATTGACCAAAAAAGTGCAGATTACAGCTTGCAGCATAAATCCTTGCAAACTCTACAATTTACAGATTACAAAAAAGTCTATAATCAACAAACTACAATCCTCTTTTGCCGCATTTACAGTCCTTTCAGGCAGAGCATTTCTCTCTTCTGTATTTTTCCCAAAACATAGAGAACCACAGGGTGACATGCAGAGTATTTCCCTCTTCTATATTTTTCACAAAAGATAGAGAACCGCCATTTCTCCATCAGGCTAAGAACCTACAAGAGAATGAGGATTTTTGTCATGGATGGAGGTCTACTTTTTATGTAATTCAAGGTTTGGGAAACAATTGAAAAAACTCTGAACAACATTTAGATGCCATCTTCTGAATTTCAGACGTGCGTACTGAACATTAGTCCCATCACAAACAACATAAAAAAGCTCTGATCTCTACCTAATTAAGCTTGTAAACATGGCAGCCACCACCCATCCTGGTTTGCCGTGCTCCATGTTGCTCCGATCTCACAAATCAATATATGGATTTAACTACTAATATGATGAAATGTACAAAACTACACACGCTGGATGGGGTGTACACACTGACACTGCAAAACTACATCTCTCTATACCAATGTGTTGATGGTGGTCGACGGCTAGGTACGCGCGCAGAGCGACCAGGAACAGATAGAGCAGTCGCTTCCTCACGTTCGCCAACACCAACCTTTCTGGGCCCGCCGCCGTCGCCGAGAGAAGAACGCGCCTCATGCTCACCATTGCCGACCCGGCCATCGCTGGATTCGCTGCCGTCACCGACGGCGCCCATGGCTAGGAGACAGGGAGGTGGAGAGGAACGCGTGCCTCGTGCTCACCCTTGCTGGCCCGGCCGCCGTCTTCAGTAAGGGAGATGAACAGGCGAACGCGGCGGCAGACGAGGGAGGGGGTTGTGGATGAGCGAGCCGATGCGAGACATGTCTTAGAGCATCTCCAACAGTCTCTCTAAATTGGACTCTCCAAACACCCATATAGTCAAATATCCATCTGATTTGGCTAGTCAAACTAGTTACTTGCTCCAACAGCCTCTCTATCTTCCATCCCCATTATAAGTCTATGACAAATAGGGCCCATATGTCAGCCTCTGCTACCCTTCTCCCTTCAATATCACGCCCCATCGGCCCTTCCCTCCACTGCGGCGTCTCCATCGAGCCGCAGTGCACGTGTCTTCCCTTCCTCTTCGGCTTCTTTGCCTTCGCCTTTGTCTTCATCTTCGACGACGCCGGATGCAACGGCAGCAGCGGCACGGGCGCAGGCGCTGTTGGCGGAGGTTGCTTGCTACGGGGAGGTCGCGTCACCGGCAGCTTCAGTGTCCTCTTGATGAGGTAGATGTCGGGTGATGAAGATGGCTTGTGGCCGAGCATCCAGATCGGGCTATCGGGCGGCGACGCGGGGGCGGTCGACGGTGGCTCGACGGCAGTCGTCCTCGCTGCTAGGCCGTGAGGTAGAATCGGAAGGGGAGCGCGGAGGCGAGGGAGGGCGCTGGTCAAGGCGGCGGTGGCGGGGAGGCGGGCGCGGGGGCGGTCGGCGGAGGCTCGACGGTTGTCGTCCTCACCGCTGGGCGGTGAGGTAGAACCGGAAGGGGAGCGCGGAGGCAAGGGGGGGCGCCGGTCGAGGCGGTGGTGGCGGCGGAGACGGACGCGGGGGTGGTCGGCGGAGGCTCGACGGCCGTTGTCCTCGCTGCCGGGCAGTGAGGTAGAACCAGAAGTGGAGCACGGAGGCAAGGGAGGGCGCCGGTCGAGGCAGCGGTGGCGGGGGAGGCAGGCGCGGGGGCGGTCGGTGGAGGCTCAACGGCCGTCGTCCTCGCCGCCAGGTGGGGAGGTAGAACTAGAAGTGGAGCGCGGAGGTGAGGGAGGGCGCCGGTCGAGGTGGTGGCGGCGGGGGAGGCGGTGGTGGGCTCGGGGGCGGCTCTTGGTTGGGCGTCGCGCCATCACCGGTGGCGGCGCTAGCGTCGGGCACGGGCGGCACCGGTGGATGGATGGGTCCATCGCCAACGGCGCGGAGGACACAGACGATGCGAGAGAGGAGAGTCACATAGGAGATGAGTCATGGGGAGAAGGAATGTGTGGGGCCCACATTGGCTAGTCACTTTTGGCAAGCCAAATTTAGCTAGTGAAGGGAAGGTTTTAGCTAGCCAGATGATTTAGCCATCCGGTTGGAGAGGTTGTTGGAGGATGTTTTTAAACTAGAATGGCTAAAATTTAGCTTGGAGAGTGGAATAGAGAGGCGGTTAGAGATGCTCTTATCCAGGGAGTCGAGCGAGCCGAAAGGGAATCGAGCTGGACGCGCCGATATCACCTGCTTGGAGCCGAGCGAATCTCGCCGTTAGATCGATAGCCTATCCACGCGGCATCTATTCAGGTCGGGGCTGCAGCGGCTTTGGTTTGCAGCCGGTCTGCACCAAATTTTTTTCCGGTATCTTGGTACCCACCGTGCTAACGGGCCTTTACGCGAGGAGCGTCGCTAGCTGCCAGGAGCGCCCTCACAGCCGCACGCAAGGAGCGCTGACGCTTCGCCGCGAGAAGCGCCGCTGGACGTCCCGCATGTGAGGGGAATGAACCAGCGTTTCACCGGTAGGTCGCTGGTGCGTCGGGCGTCGCTCGTCCCGTCGCGTGCAGACACTGCACCGCTGCGCGCCACCACCTCGATCAAGGCCGGATCCGTGTCTCTTCGTCGTTCTCGGAGAATCGCGCAAAAATAGCTGGGGCACCGTCCGTTCAAACACGTTTTTTTATTTCAGGCTTGTAAAAGATTATAGATGATGGAATAACACAATGCTGGTAAATTGAGCATTTGCAAATCATTCGCTCATGATTAGGGCAGCACACAGAGTTGTCATGCATGGCGTGTTCATATATTTCTGGAGATGCATACACTTGATAATATAGTGACAAGTGGTGTGTAGTTTTAATTTCGAAGTCCCGTATTCAATCCCAAATATTTCTGAATTTTATTGTATCATACGAAATAAAAAACACATAATTATCATGTAGTACAGTGGTTGCAGTGACTTGAGTAGTACTCCAAAGTCCTGAGTTCAAATCTCTATAAGAGCAAATTTCACATGCCGGATAAAAAACACCCTTTTCTAAAAAAATCATTTTGTCACCACTGGTCTCCTCGAAGAGGCTTTTTATTTGCACTGTCTCGAAGAGGCTTTTTACTTGCACTGTTTGACCATTCGTCTTATTAAAAAAATTTAGAATTGTTATTTATTTTATTTGTGACTTACTTTATTATCCAAAGTATTTTAAGCACAACTTTTTGTTTTTTTATGTTTGCACAAATCTATTATCTTATTAAAGTAATAGAAAAGGAAGTCTCCATGTCTGCTCTTATGGTCTAGAAATTCTCATATTAATCGAGAAAAAAGAAAATAGAGTCCATATAGAAATATAATTTAAAAATAGCAAAATTCAGAATTAAAAATCTATCAACTTAATAAATCTATACCTAATTAAAAAATATGTAAGGTTTCTGTAAAAAATTTTTGTCCGTCGTTTTTAACTTCCGCAACACTGTTTTTTTTTCCGGTTTTCCGTCTTGGTTTTTTCTCCGGTTTTTATTTGGGCCTGGTTTTCTTTGTCCGATTTTTTTCTGGGTGGGTCACGATTTTATGTGTTGCGGTTTTTTATGGGCTCGGTTTTTTCCATTGCTGTTTCCAATTATTTTTTTCTTGGTGCACACATAAGGATCGAATCCCAAATAGAGTTACCTAATCTTCATCTTTATCTATTATAAAAATTGAACCTTAATTTTCATCTGCCATCTGTTGTTAGACACGTATAAAACCAATTTGGACCGGAAAAAACAACCAACTGGCAACACAACCAAAAGCCCACATCGAAAAAAAACCATTCACTGGTGACCTGGACAAAAACTACCATATCGGACCGGAAAAAACTCGGCGACCTGGATCGTAGCAGAAAAACCATGTGTATTATTAAAATAAAACAGATAAACTATGTGTAAAACTACCAGATCGGACTAGAAAAAACTCGGCGACATGGATCGTAGCAGAAAAACCATGTGTATTATTAAAAAAAAGATCAACTATGTGTATTATTAGAAGAAAAACCATATCAGACGGAAAAAAATGAGCAACCCAGATCAGACCTGAAAAAACCATGTGTATTATTAAAAAACCAGATCGGGCAAAAAAAAACATGTATTATTAGAAGAAAAAGCAGATCGGACCGGAAAAAATGAGCAACCCAGATCAGACCCGGAGGTCGCCGTTGTCGTTTCTCTCTGTATCTATCAGAACAATATTGTCAGTCGCGTTTCTGGTATTCTGGTTTTCTTCGTTGCCAATGCTCACCATCAATAGATGAGTCCAATTGTGGGATACATCCTACCACAGTCCTCACCGCCGTTTGATTGTCAGACCATCCATGCCCATCTTAAGTATCATGAGAACTTAGTCTCATTTGAGACTAAGTTGGTTGAGTATCATGAGTATATCAATATACAATGGTGGTTTTATCCATCCTAATTATCATTAAAATTTAATCAATACTTAGTCTAAGAAATAATTTATCCGTAGCGAAGCACGGACATTTTGCTAGTAATATAAAAAGAAGCCTCCACGTTAACTTTCAACGTCTAGAAATTCCTATATTAATTGAAATAAATAAAATAAAAAAAATAAGGAGAATTCATCGTAGATAAGGACTCTTTCTCTTTCCTTTATAGAAAAAATTTGTGTCCGATCGGACAGCTGCATAGAACGATTAGTCTTTTGCTAGGAAAAAAACCTAAGCTGGCTACAGTAACCGTGTACAATAGAACGATTATGGAACGGAGGGAGTACTACTTATGCATAGTCAAGTGTGGATTTCACTAGTATAGAATAGAGAAGGTAGTTCATAGCAAAATCAACATTAAAGTCCTCGTAGAAATTAATCTTAACGATAATCATTGACTCACTAGGATTCAACTCCATTCCTTTTCACAATGCATACACGCAGATTCAGTTTATTCAAATCTTCCCTTTAATTTATATCTGATCATGATTCGCAATCAATTTATTCAAATCTTCCCAGGGCTGATCATGATTCACAGGGCTGAACGGCGTGAGATTGCTGCAGGTAGATGACCCTTGTCTTGTAAGCTTATTACCGTTCTGTATAAACTCTCTTTCAAAGGAGTGAACTGCATGCCTAAAGTCTCCAGCCTTTGTACAGAGAATTTGTATGGTTTCACCATTGGCTTACTGTTGTCCTTACATCTGGATCAGTTAACACGAATAAGATTCTTTTTTTTTTGCACATGTTTTATAATTTTCTTTTCTTATCATATATTTTTAAAAATATTGAAAACATAATCACGCGAATAAAAATTCACGACAAATCCACTAATTACATTTTACATATTTTTTTAGGAAATGGATTACATTTTACATATATAAAATCTTTTCTCACTCGATCGGTTTGATTACACTAATCATAAAATTTCTAAGTTACCTGGAGGTGATAGGGTACTGGGGGAAGAGCTCCCTAAGCAAGCGAACAAACTCGGACCGGTGCAGCACGCTGCCGATGCAGAGGTAGCGGCCACGCGCGTCGGGGTGCTCGTACACCAGCGCGTGCGCGCGGGCGACGTCGCGCACGTCGACGTACGCGGCGACGGCGTTCGGGTACGCACTCTTGGTGCCCCTCATGTAGGTGGCCACCCTGTGGACGCTGGCGTTCAGCGTCGGCTGCAGCATCTCCCCCACGGTGACGGCCGGCACGACCACCAACAGATTCACACCTCTCTTCGACGCCTCCTCCATCGCCGTCCTCTCGGCCAACATCTTCGCGTAGCAATACCAGTTCTGCATGCAGTTGTACATTAGTTATATTAGTTGTTGTCTTGTTGAAGTATATATACATGGGGAGCGTATCATATGCACACAGGCCCTCGCGTGTACACACCGTGTACACCAACTAAAAATTATCACAAAAAATTCTAGGAAAATTTATACATGTACTTTCAATAGTATTACATCTACGTGCAAAGTCGCATCTTCAAATTCATTCTACATAGAGAATAACAAAAAAGATAAAATTCTGATAAAATTGCAAGCTTAAAACTGGTCAGATTTTTTGTTTTTTTTTGTTACGGCTAAAATATAATGAATTTGACATTAAGATTTTAACCCTAGGTGTAATACAATTGAAAGTATGTGTATGATTTTTTATTGATTTTTTGGTGACATTTTTTAGTTGGTGTGCACGTGTGTACACATGAGGGCCTGGCAACATATCCTATGGACACAGGCCCTCACGTGGCAACATATCCTATGCACATAGGCCCTCACGTGTACACACGTGCACACCAACTAAAAAATGTCACATGGCAACATATCCTATGCACACAGGCCCTCACGTGTACACACGTGCACACCAACTAAAAAATGTCACCAAAAAATCTATAAAAAATCATACACATACTTTCAATTGTATTACACCTAGGGTTAAAATCTTAACGTCAAATTCATTATATTTTAGCCGTAAAAAAAACTAAAAATCTGACAGTTTTAAGCTTTACACATACCCTGCAAAAAAAAAAAGAAGTATATATACATAGCATATCTCTGTCAACTTCGTTTTCTGAATTAATCGTAATCTTTTGGTTGCGTGTATTTATCTGGTTATTATTACTTTGGTATACATAATTGGAGGAGTATCATCATTTTCCGTATAAAGATTCAGCTGCGGTTGAAATTTGAATTATTTTGGAGTTAGTTTTAAGATATTTTTGATGTATTTTTTTTTAATATTAGCTTTTAAATCACTAAGACACATATAAAAGTTTTACATGTAAATTACTTCTTGATCGCTAATAAACCGTTTTTGCGTATAATCGGCTATTGGCTAATCCATGGGGGCACTATATATAGCTCTTGTGTGGTGGATTAGTAATGATGGTTTCTAACAGTCCATTGGTTATAAGAGTGGACCTGTGTTTGTTTGCAGAACTCAAGGTCACTCCAACAGCTCTCATCAACAATCTGGTCAGATCTTCTGTTAGGGTTCATATGGACAGCACCATAAGACGAAGTAAACACCACACGCTTGACGCCCATGTCCGCAGCAGCGTTGATGACATTCTTGGTTCCCTCGATAGCAGCTGGCAGAAGTTCCTACGTTTGAAATTAATAATTCGATTCGGTCATCATATATACGTTTAATACGCCGAAAAAATATAGATTCGAAATTGTTTAGAATAATACAGCCGGAAATTTGGAACTAACAGGGTCATTTGAGACTGGCGATGCCACGTGGAAAACGCCATCGCATAAGGCGAACGCAGCACGAAGGCTGTTGCGGTCGAGCACATCAGCTCGGTAGAGGGACAGGCCTTCTCTAGCTCCATCCAGAACATGCAAATGAGCATTCTTGATGTCCGCTGTAGGGAGACAATTTAAAATTAAAACTTTTCACATCAATATCTTTTGAAATTTCTATATTAGATGCATGAAGTCCAAGCGTAAAATAAAGCAGGGGATTCCTAATTTTCTATTTATGTGTAAGATGTTTTGGATTTGAACTAGTTATATCATAATATTTACTCATCTCAAACATTGTTGTTAGCTGTTTATTGATGTTATAAGACATTATTACTATATTTCTATCGTATTTTTATTAAATTTGTACTTGTATATGGGATTTACATTATATGTTCAAAAAATTTTAGTATGTGGTGTAAACTTGTGAACTAGGCACTACTACAGATATGATTTTTCTGGACGAGACCCTTTTTAGATTACAAGCGGCCCATTACTACAGAAGGATCCCTCTGGCGGCGTTGACCTGACGCCTCCCCCCTCCCTCTCCCGCACAGATCACTACACCGACGGCTTCGAACGACTTCTAGAGTTAGGGTTTTAGGATTTATGATTTTTTTTCGATATGTCCTTTTCGTAGTCGGACGAATTGTCCGTATGTGAAAATCCGATTTTTGTATGTAGTTTCTCTACCCACATGAAAAAAAAACTCCAACTTTCGCAGATATCTGGATTCATGTGGGCTGCCCAGCTACCTTCGAAAATCGGATTTGACCGCATGCAAAAATCATATTTATACTAGTGAGGACTATCCATGAAAAAATTTCTGCCTACACCACTGATTTAGCTTCTACATTAAAAACTGTATCGATGTCCAAAACTAGATGCTTTCGCAAGAGTGGTTCTCGTACGTGGACGAACTCACCAGGTTCTCTCATGGCTCCCCTCACGAAGTATCCGCGGTGGAGGAGCTCCTTCACCAGCCACGACCCGATGAAGCCACCGGCGCCGGTCACGCACACCATCTGCTCGCTCCGGCCGGTGACCATCGTCGTCGATCGGTTCGGCCGCCTGTTCTCTGCTCTGCCGTAACTAGTACTAGTAGGCTTTGCTTACAGCTGATATCTGCTTCGCATCTCTGGTGAATCAGGTGCTACCGGGGCGAGATATATATGTATACATAGCATTTTATGTTCCTGCGACACGAGTCGACGATCGACACGGACGGCTAGCTAATGGCAAGGCTTAAAAGTACTGTGTTTGGCGTGTGTTGCTTCCACGCAAGAGAGAGTCACGTGATTTTAATTCTAACTGATTACCAGGAGGACGTACGTACTACAGTCCTTGACAGGAGAGCGCGGTACCAAATTCTGTCCTCAAATTGGGCTCGAAATGATGCAAAGTTGGAAACGTAACGGCCGGTACCGAGGTACCGATCGGCGGGCAGGGTGTAGGGTCGATCATGCGAATTATTGGGACGGCGCACGATGATCATGCAGAAGACGTGAATGATTAATCACTTGCTTTTTTATAAAACAAAAAGAAAACGGATATACGACAAAAATAATGACAAATTATGTAAAGTTATTCTATAGCATTATTAAAACGTAAAGCTAATCACCCTGGCAAAGTTACAAAGCCGAAGTAAAAAGGTTGCACTACCGTATTCACTACAGGGAAACTCTTAATTTTCATCCTTAAAAGAATATCTCTGTCGCATGTTATTTAAATAAACATAAAAAGATTTGAAAAAAAAATGACATGATAGATGAATATGAGATATGTTATTTCACAAACATGAACGTGTATAAACAAAAATAATAAATTTCAGTGCAAATAGTACACACTAATTACAATCAAATTTGTTATTTTTGTTATACTTGTGTAGTTTGAATTTGATTTTGCATGTTTATGGAGTGATATATTACATATTGATCTATGTTGCTATTTTTTTTCAAATATTTGATAACATTTCGGGGGCACGCACAAAATGGGGGATATACACTAGAGCGATAAAAATCCACCTCCTTTGCTACAGTGTCCTGACACTATAAACAAAAAAATTACTCCAAATAAAAACTGTTAGAATGTTGCCAAATCAAATATGTTCGATGTGCAACTTAAAGGTAATTTAACCATTCTTAAAAAGATACTAAGAGATACTATATTTAATATAAAATTTGGTACCTTTAGATACTAAGTAGCTCAAGGTACTAAAATTCTAGTGTAAAATTTAGATATCTCGAGGTTTGTAGATAGTTTATACCCGTAGATCGGATTTGTATAGCAGTATGGGGATTGCTGGTGTCAGGGTATACACGAGATTGACGTGAAAGAGACGGGAGACATGTATTTTTTATAGGTTCGGACCCCCTTAACTGACATGTAATAGCCTTACTCTTGTTGGCCGAAGCCGGTATTGCATTTATATATAAATATCTCTCGCGAGCACAATATTTGCGATGACATAACCTAGTCTATGTTGGCTTGGCGGCATAGAGCTCTTAGTCTTCTTCCTCGAATATAAACCCAGTGAGATTGGAGATAGCTCTAGATCCCTCATATCGGCCTTTGTGACGCCTATATTGGGTTTGTCTATATCTATATTGGCTTGTATTTTGACTTGGCTTGTCCCATCTCCTCTTAGGGGGTCTTGTATTTATACCTCGGATATCCCTTTGTCTAAATAGAACTAGGGAGACAAATTTGGATACGATTCGAGTAGCCCTTGCAGTGCTCGAGTAGAATTATGCTTCTCCTTCCTTATCCGAAACACCTTCTGTATTTAAGGCATGATTCCCTAAAGACTTAGTATTTTGATGGCCCCGCTGAATCCAACCCAAGACTGTTGGAGATACCATATTTTATCGTGTAAAATATGATACTTCCAAATACTAACTACCCTGAAGTTTTTTAGTGTAAAATTCAGTACCCCGAGGCACCCCGATGTCACCAAAGCAGAAGGTTGTAGAGGGAAATTAAGAACAAGAGGGAAGAAGGATTCCTCTCCCTCGTATAGACCTGCCGCTCACTACTAGTATTTAAGAGCTATGCACTAAACTGACTAAAAGCATATTAGGCAGTAGAGGGGCCTCCTACATGGCACCTCTAGGAAGAACGTGATGCAAGAAGCATTGCCGCCATCCTTCAAGGTCTCCAGAAGATCCACATTAGACAAGGTTTTTGTCGGAAGGTTCCGTCAGGGAGGAAAAGAGCCGCCTCAACAATGGCCCCAAGAGGGACCATGGCAGCGCACTCAAAGGTTTCACTGTTGTCGGCTAGGTAAGTTAGACTTATTGTCCGCCACCCACTCCTGTCGTTCTATAGCTGCCGCTCTAAGGCACCACCACCCGTCACTCACTGCCGTTGCTGGCTTGCTGCATCTTTTGACTGAAGTGAAAATTGCCAGGTGTTTATTCATTGCGTTTTCAGAAAATTGAGAAGAGAAATGCATCTAATTCATAGCAAAACGAACACAGCATTAAAGTCCTTACAAAAACCACAACGATAATCATTGCCTCATGATTAGGATTCATCTCCGTTCCTTCTCACAATGCATACACAATCAATTTATTCAAATTTTACGTTTATATCTAATCATGATTCACAGGGCTGAACGAGGTGAGATTGCTGGTAGGTGACCCTTGTCCTGTAAGCTTATCACTGTCTTGTACAAGCTCTCTTTCAAAGGAGTGAACTGCATGCCTAAAGCCTCCAGCCTTTGTACAGAGAATTGGTAAGGTTTCACCATTGGCTTACTGTTGTCCTCACACCTGGATCAGTTAACAATAATAAGATTTTTTTTTTTTTGCAGATGTTTTACCATTTTATTTTCTCATCATTTTATTTTTCACATTTTCCCGCACACTTGGATCATCTACTCCATATCCATCCTAACTTATAAGCATGTCTGGTATTTTTCAAACATTGATCATCAAGAGTTACGTACCTGGTGGTGATAGGGTACTGGGGGAAGAGCTCCCTAAGCAAGCGAACAAACTCGGACCGGTGCAGCACGCTGCCGATGCAGAGGTAGCGGCCACGCGCGTCGGGGTGCTCGTACACCAGCGCGTGCGCGCGGGCGACGTCGCGCACGTCGACGTACGCGGCGACGGCGTTCGGGTACGCACTCTTGGTGCCCCTCATGTAGGTGGCCACCCTGTAGACGCTGGCGTTCAGCGTCGGCTGCAGCATCTCCCCCACGGTGACGGCAGGCACCACCACCAACAGCTGCACACCTCTCTTCGACGCCTCCTCCGTCGCCGTCTTCTCGGCCACCGTCTTCGCGTAGCAGTACCAATTCTATGTTATTTAATTATATACACGTACATTAGTTTAAGTGTATTACGTTCATTGATGAATCACTGTCAGTTAATTAACTTTGTTCTGTGAATTAGTTCTGATGTTTTAGCTGTGTACTCCATTAATTTCTTATATAATTGCTCGAACTGTTGTGTATATTGTGTAGATTGGTCATTGTGGTTTCAAACATTTGCACTGGCTGTTTGTGTGGACCTGTGTTTGTTTGCAGAACTCAAGGTCACTCCAACAAGTCTCATCAAGAGTCTGATCTGATCTCCTGTTAGGGTTCATATGGGCAGCACCATAAGACGAAGTAAACACCACACGCTTGATGCCCATGTCCGCAGCAGCATTGATGACATTCTTTGTTCCCTCGATAGCAGTTGGCAGAAGTTCCTACGTTCGAAATAATTCGATTCATTAATGAACATCGATATCATATATCATATGTTTAATAGTACTAGAAAATTAAGCTGATGTATTGCAATCGGTGTTTTGTATCACGCTGAAAAATAGGAGAAATTTTACTGTCCTTGAGAAAAAAACCTGATTACAGGAATTTGATACTTAAAAATTTTAGTACCTACCTAAAGGTATCAATAGGTATCAAGTTTTACACTACAAAATATAATACACCTCATTACTTATTAAAGTATGGTAAAATTAGGGGAGGGGGAGTAGAGATTCAAATTTTTAGATAATGCATATTGAAATTTTGAACTAACAGGGTCATCTGAGACTGGTGATGCCACGTGGAAAACACCATCGCATAAGTTGAACGCAGCACGAAGGCTGTTGCAGTCCAACACATCAGCTCTGTGGAGGGACAACCTTCTTTTAGCTCTCTCCAGAGCATGCAAATGAGCATTCTTTCTGCCCTCTGTAGCAAGACAAACAAAATAGAGGATTTAAAATAAAAATTTTAAAACTCTGCACATCAATGTCTTTTTGAAATATCAATATTAGACGCATAAAAAATACAATGGGTATATTCCTCCTAAAAAATACATTTCATTGGATTTCTACATGTATATTTAGCTTTGTATTTAATTTAGAGTTCAGAGACTTTGTAGATGTTCAAAACTACTTTCACGAGGGTGGTTGTCGTGGACGGACTCACCAGGGTCTCTCACGGCTGCCCTCACGGCGTATCCGCGGTGGAGGAGCTCCTTCACCAGCCATGACCCGATGAAGCCACCGGCGCCGGTCACGCACACCATCTGCTCGACGCCGGTGACCATCTCTCGTCGACGATCGACTCGGTCGGCCGGCTGCTCTGCTCTGCTCTGCCGTAAGAATGTATTCTTTTTTGTCTACCCTTGCACGTATCTATGATGAAATCAGGTGCTGCCGGGGCGAGATATATATATGGCCGAAATGGTGTTCTTTTTCCTAGGACGCAACAAAAGGCTTGAGCTGTGTTGTGTTGTTTCGCTTGCACGCAACAAAAGGCACGCGATTATTTATTCTATTGTGACTTGATTTATCATCAAATATTCTTTAAGTATAATTTAAATATTTTTATATTATAAAAAATTAAATAAGATAAATGCTAAACGTTAATAAAAAAAGTCAACAACAACGTACACTTAAAAAATGAAGGTTGTACATGAGTTTTCTTCTTTTCAGTTCTCACTGATTACCAACATGAAAATTTTCAGTTAACAGGAGATGCTCGGCAAACTGGTGTTGGAGACAAAATAAAAAAGACCCGTTTCAAAACTTTCAACACATCATAAGTGGTCTCTAGAGAGGGACAACCTACTCTACAAGTCTACATAGCCATGACAATTGGAATCCTAACAAACATTTCACTGCTATAACGTGACCTTCCTTGTTGTTAGCAATGACCAAAAGGCCAAAAGCAAACAACAGACACATCTTTGGTCCTTGAGTAAAATACTGCGCTTGATGGATCTTGCGACGACCGAAAACTCTCCGGTCATTCTTTAATTGCTTCATGTATGATGTATGTCATTGCTGTGTTATGCTATAGGATACAGTAGTTATTTTTAAAAATCACACTAATTCATTTTTCAAGTTTAAAATAAATTAATACTCAATTGAACATGTGCTAGTAGCTCATCTCGTTAATTTTACATATCTTATCAATCTTCTTATTTTCCCTTCTCTTAAATATAAGCATTATGGATGACTACACTGTGAATACCGTCGGACAGAATACCATTTATCCCTAAGAACATCGCATGTCCCGTCCTTAGAGATCCGTGTCACCTGCATCGTTCCATGTCCACTCCACGCCTCCACCCGCGTCGTCCCATGTGTGTATGTGTCGTCCCGCGTCCGCATACTCATATGTATGGCTTTGATAGTGTTTGGATCAAGGGACTAAACTTGATTCGTTGCAATTTTTAACACAATATTTTACCACATGGACGCCACATCATTGGGTGACGTGGCACTCGATGGAGAAATACTGATTTTGCCCCATCTTTCTTTCTTCTTGCTCCCACCCAACTCACTCCTTGATTAGTGAACTGCCCTGGTTCCTTCCTTCTTACTCCACCCCTACTCATTCCCTGTGTGGTGAGCTACCTCGGCTTTGACGACATTCCTGCACGCTGGTAGCCCCACTAGCGAGCTCTAGCCATCTCCGTGTCTCCTTTCCTCTGCTTTTCTCTTGCCCTTGCACACCATATCAAAAGGGTGTTCATCGGTACCCTCCCCAACCTTTCTCGGCAAGGCATGCATAAACTGTTGACGTTCCCCTCCATAGAGCTAGACACAATGAGACCTCGGATCTAGGCCGATCGTCATGACATGTTGCCCGAGGTCATCTCCCTCAGTCAAAACCCCAAGTCCCATCATCTTCCCCATGCTCCGCTATCCCCACATCATCTTGTCCTCATCGCTGTCAGCCCTCCTTCGATGACCTCGGCTCGACGGCTTGACATTTGTGGTGGTGGCATAGCCAGCTCAAGTCACATGGGGAGGTCGGAGGGAAAAGATGTCCTTTAGCTAGAGGAAGGAGGAGGGTGAACATTCATTTTTTTCATGAGATGTGATGTGATGCCTAGTAGACTAGAAAATTGCACACGACCAGAAAATCTTCTCATTTCGATGAAAGGAAAATTTAAAGGGCTTGTTCACTTTGTTGCCAAAAATCAACCTTACCAAAACTTGGTAGTGACAAATTCATTTTGGCAATACCAAATTTTGGTAGAGTTGGGTGTGTTTGGTTTGATGTCTTTTTAAATTTTTGCGTTCGCGAAAAAGTATCTTTTCAAATTTTGGCGGTGTTTTTTAAGAGGAAGCTTCCGGAACTACCAATTTTTTGCAGGATGATATTGGAAAATTCATGTTTAGCTTATTGCCCTACCAAAAATTTGGTAGGGTCGAAAGCGATGATAAAGTGATCATGCCTAAAGTCATTTACGGCCTAATCTTTTCACTTATGCTTATGCTTATGCTTATTAGCTAAAATTTGAATTTTCAACCTTAAATTTGGAGTTGTTTTTTAGGTTTACGGCCTCATCAAAGTTTATTTTTTAGCCTTTACTTTCAGATCACTAAGAACACATATATAAAAGTTTTATTCATAAATTATTTTTCGTTTGTAAATATGTCGTTTGGCTTATTCCCTAAATATAAGCCAACTGATGGGCACCTTAGAAGAGTGCTCACCGAGAATATGCCATTTGGGAGAATGTCATATGTTTTTCTTGTGTGGATGGATTATGCTGTCTTTATTTATTATATTTATAAGTTATCTTATGAGCAAAAGAAAAAAAAACTAAGCCTAAATAAACAAACAGACTTTTTGTTTGCCTTTTTGAAGCCATAAGTCACTACGGCCCTCTTTGTTTATGAGCCAAAAAGTCAAATTTTCTAGTTTGGTATTTTAAAGCCATAAGCCACTCTTATAATGCTCCCTCTATTATTTTTTAATAGATTACGTCGTTGACTTTTAAACACTTGTTTGACTATTCGTCTTATTTAAAAATTTTATGCAAATGTATAAAATATAAATCATACTTAAAGTACTTTAAGTGATAAAACAACTCACAACAAAATAAATTATAATTATGTAATTTTATATTAAGACAAATAGTCAAACGTGTGACAAAAGTCAACAATGTCATCTACTACCTCCGTCCCATAATAGTTATCGCTTTGACTTTTTTTGCGACGTTTGACCATTCGTCTTATTTTAAAAATTAGTGCAAATATAAAAAATGATAAGTCATACTTAAAGTACTTTTGATAATAAAGCAAGTCACAAAAAATAAATAATAATTCCATAATATTTTAAATAAGACGAATGATCAAACTTTAGAAACAAAAACTCAAAGCGACAAGTATTCTGAGACGGATGTAGTATTAAAAAACGGAGGTAGTATTAAGAAAAAAAACTAGGTCGGAGATTTTTATTCTTATATGTGGTAACTAGATGCTTTAAATTTATTGGCTTATACATAAATCATACTCCCTCCATCTACTTTTGATAGTCATATTTCATTTTGGCACACAGACCACGGATAAGTAATTCTACTTATCATCCATTTAAGCATGCTACTAGTTATTCCTCGTAAACAAGCGATTCATTAATATTTACATTTCTCAATGCCCATGTAGCCAATCTTGAGTGGAATAATGGAGAGTCATGCATTAAATCCGAGAAAGTTATTAAGAGGATAGGTTGTTGAATTGAAATAACCTATCAAAAATAAATTTTTCAGATTTGGAAATATGACTATCAAAAATAGATGGAGGGAGTATAAACCAAAACGCTAACTTAAAAGTTACTTTTAAAGTTGAAATCGATAAGTCTAAATCTAAATAAATAGGCTTTAATTACATTAATGAGTGATTAATAAAGCATTCTCTTCCAAAGGAAATGTATAAATCCACCATTAACTTTGAATCCATTAGCTTATACTCTCTCCATCTATTTTTGATAATAATATTTCATCTTGACATATAGATCAAGGATAAGTAATTCTACTTATCATCCATTTAAACATGCTACTAGTCATTCTTCGTAAACAAGCGATTCATTAATATTTACATTTCTCGATGCCCATATAACCAATCATGTATGGAAGAATAGGGAGTCACACATTAAATCCGAGAAAGTCAATTAAAATAATAGGTTGTTGGATTGAAATATGCCTATCAAAAATAATTTTTTTAGATTTAGAAATATGACTATAAGTAGATGGAGGGAGTACTGTGTAATTAAAAAAATGACTAAAATAACATAAACTTATAAATCTAAACCGATACCCAGTATGGTTTATAATTGTTGAGAATTTATCTGATGGCAAATAGTTCCGTGATGTCAGCTTGGAAGCATCCTGCTCGAGAATTATCCGGAAGGTTCCGTTGCTTCCGGCCATCTCTTGCGATGGAAGAAAGAAACCAAAAAAAAAAGAAAGAAAGAAACCGACTCATCCAGAAATATAAGGAAACCAGGAGAGCAGGAGCGAATTTCACAAGGGAATTGCGTGGCGTGTCGACTTCCAAGTCTTCCGCCTTCGTTGGCCCCACCAGTCAGTGACCCAGTCAATCTCCGGCGATGGGGGCCGGAATGAGCAGCGGCCGGCGGCCGAGCTTCTACGGCGGCGGCGGCGGCGGCGGGGTCGGCCGGCCGAGAGGGATGCTGCCCCTGCTGGCGCTGCAGGTGCTGCTCGAGTACGGCCGCGCGGGCGCCAGCCGGCCCCCCGTGACGGCGGCGCTGCTCGCCGCCAACGCGCTGCTGTACCTCCGCCCAGGCTCCCTCGACGCGCTCCTCCCTTCGCTCAACCGCGTCGCCTTCAACCCTCACCTCATCATTCACGTAAGAGGAGCTTCCCCTCCACCAACCCTCCCCTTGTGTTTGGATTGATCCTGATTTCTCCCCTAGGAGAAGAAGAAGAAACAGAAAATTCACATAGGATTCTGGGCCATTTTTCCACTTCTTCGCCCATTCTAGTAGGGCTGTAGAATTGCGGCTGCGCTTCCTGGCGTGCTAATTGTGTCGAGGCTTTCGCTTTAGCTGATCAGTACATGGTAGATTATGCGAATTTCAGCTTGTGGGAATTTGGTAGCGGGATTACTGACTGCATAATGAGTTGGGAAATTTGGGAGTAGTATCCTTCTATTGGGAGTAATTGCTGGTAGTTTCGTGGTAATGTTTGTATTTGCAGAGGGGAACAGAGAATTGGAGGCTGGAGGAGCTGATGAAGAGAGAATTTTCTCCTCTTTGAGCCTGCTCTGCTACAAGCATTTACTCTAGTTGACAAAAAAAAAGATCATCCTATATGTAATTCTAGTTCAGTGAAATATACTTCCTCCAGTTAAAAACACATGTCATTTTGGACTTCAACACTGTTTCGTAATGTAGCTTTTGACCGATAATTTCTATTGCAAAACATTTGAATCCTCATAAAATGATTATATTAGTAAAGTTACTTTGCGAGGAAAATCTGTGCATATGATTGTCATACATCCAGCCTAAATATTTCGAAAGGGATTTTAAAGTTTGAGTTGAAACATGTTCAAAACGACATGTTTTTTTTTTGTGACTAGAAGGAGTATGCAGCTTCTATTCACAATGTGTTTTGTCAATTCCTATAGGGCATTTTTCTCTAAAATTTGCTAGTAAGCTGGTCTTCTTGGAAAATAACTCATTAGTAGGATACAGATACACATCATCTGCTCTAAAATATTATGGGTATAGTTGTGAACCCCATTTGGATTTCCTACACCTTCTATTTTATTGTTTTGAAGTTACAGTCTGCTGGTTCCACCTGACTAAGCAAGATGATCGTTGTTGGTTTGTTGCAGTACTGTGACCTGACACGCTTCTTCCTGTCGGCTTTCTACCACTTGAGCGAAACTCACTTCTTCTTCAACATGTCATCTCTCTTATGGAAGGGCATCCAGCTTGAAACATCCATGGGTAGTGTTGAGTTTGCCTCTATGGTTGCTGCATTGCTTGGCATGTCACAAGGCATCACACTACTTTTGTCCAAAGGTTTACTCCTGTTCGGCAATGATGAGGCTTATTATGATCAATATGCTGTTGGATTCTCTGGAGTACTATTTGGTATGAAGGTCGTGCTGAATGCCTGGTCAGACGATTATGTCTTTCTTCATGGGGTGGTTATTCCAGCAAAATATGCTGCCTGGGCTGAATTACTCCTCATTCAGGCTTTTATTCCTGGGACATCTCTTATTGGCCATCTCGGTGGAATACTTGCTGGATTGGCCTACCTTTGGCTTAAGCGATCATTCTCTGGGCCAGACCCGCTTTCTCTTCTGATTTCAGGAATTGGAAAAGCTGTGAGATGGCCAGTAGGGTTTGTTCAGAAGCTTTTCAGGTCTGGCCGTCCTCAGGGTTACACCCCAAGTCGAGGCAGAGTTGGCCGTGGTTCAGCAAGAGAGAATGGTCGAGGTATATGGAGATGCTCAGCCTGCACTTATGACAACTCGCCGTCGACAGATATCTGTGAAATGTGCAGCAGTGCACGTGAGGACCATGCTTTTTCTCATAGACAGCACCTCCAAGCTGGGGGGAATGGGGAGCCATCGGTTGAGGAGATTCGCCGTAGGAGGCTCGAGAGATTTTCCAGATGACGTGAACCATTGCTCTAGCAAATCAAGTTTTTTGTGGTACAGGAAGGAAGCTAATTCTCATGAAAACTGAAAAATGCCCTTTCATGCCTTCCTGTGCTATTGCTACATAGCTTCAGAACATTCTTGTGTCCAATGAATACTGAAGTTTTAACTTGCCTATTCAAGTTTATTGCTACTAAGTATTTAGCTCCATTCTTTAGGATCCCCTCATAATATATCTTTAGGTTGTCTCATCAGCTATGCCTTCAAAGTATGTAATTATGTCCTTTTTTCTGGATAAATGGAGTATTACAGTAGTTGACTTCGGCATATAATACCCCTGCTGTATGTCTGTCACCTAGTACATGTTTGGCCGTTATTTGCAGGCCTACAGAGCATTCCTTTTCACGGTTCTTTTAGCACTTGCAGTGTGTGAACGGAAATCTGCATCATCAACATCAGGTAGAAGTGGTGAGAATTCCTTTTCAAAGTGGCAGCTTATTAAGGATCCGGTTGCATGTCCAAATGTTGTGAATAGAAGCAGACGAGTTGTTGTCTCTTTACTTTCTTCTTGTCTGATCTTGTTGTCTTCAGAATAGAAGCAGACGAGTTGTTGGAATCATGGTTGGTTCCAGACATTTGAGGGCATCAATTCCAGAAGTCCACATTGACAGGAACAGGGCTTAACTCACCAGGTGGGAGGAGGCGTGTGTATACACAGATACGCTCTCACCGTCTGAAAGGTTAATGTACCAATTTTCCTCTACAAGGTTAGGTTAGGTTGGTAATGTGCCAATTTTCCTCTTGCCATCTCTCACCAAATACATTAATGCATTACGAATACATCCTCTATCACAGATTGACAATAAACGTACACACACCGTGTTATTTCCTCCATTTCATATTATAAAAATTTCTAGCATTACCCATATTCATATAGATGTTAATGAATCTAAAATAAATTATGTTTAGGTTCATTAACATTTATATGAATGTGAGTAATACTAAAAAGTTTTATAATATTAAACGGAGGGAGTATTGTTCAAGCAGAAATGTAAGAGCAGCTGGAAAAAAAAAACAGGAGAGAAACCCAAGATGTTTGGCCTTTCACCTATTTGCCGTGCGTGTTGCATTCCTGGCAGTAGAAATCGTTGCGCTCGACGAGCGTCCTGACACCCGCGCCCGCGCTCGCGTCCACCTTCTTGCCGATGCCGCCGAGGTGGTGGTCACCGTGGAGGACGGAGGCGCGCGCCGCCGTGTCGTGCTCGTCGCCGCCGCAGCAGCGCCGTCTCGCGGTCGCGGTCGTCACGACGCTACGCCAGCAAGAAGGGCGTGTACCGGCTGACGACGAGGAGGACGAGAAGGACACGGTGGCCGACCTGATGGACGTGTCCTTCTCGGGGCCCTTCTTCCTCTCGCTGCTGCTGTATTTGCCCATCTCCATGATCTCGCCGGTGTCGCGGCGACGAAGACGGAGAAGACGACGTCGTCGATCGGGGAAAACTGCAGAGTGCTATACTAACCTACCGGGTTAATTAATTAACGCCATATTCTCCTGGTCTCCGATGCCTTTACTTCACGGTGGGGGCTTCCCGGTTATGTTCCCAATGAATATGATCGATCTTGATCTCTGCCCCTCACGCTTTGCAATTTTTGCAGTTCGCACGCTATCCATTTTAGTAAAATTTTCCATGGAGATTTTCTACCATGGTCGGCAAAGTTGTACCTCACGCTACCTCAAGAACTATGAGAAAAGGAAAAAAAAGACTACACTTTTCGTGAACTACCTCTTATCACTTCATTTTGATCAATCGCTAGCAGGGCCCGGTCGAACACATCACCGGTCTCACAGTCGCATTTGCATGACGTCGTGCATTTAACATCTGATGGTATATATATCTGGTTTGCAACGGACAGTGTACGGTTGCCGACTTGCCGGCCGGTTGTTATATATGTGCATCAGTGCATGTTTTTTTTTTCTTTTCAATTTGTGATCGGGTAGAAAAGTAGCTTAAAACGGTTGTGCCGTACTGTAAACAGTGATTGATGCTTGAAAATATTGTGATTTCGTTTTAATAACATGTGACCGGTTGATCGTCGACAGTAACAAACTATGGTTTTTCCAACAGTACGTGCCGGCTTACGGCTATTATGCTGTCATCTGCCAATCAATCAAGACTAACTTATTTGGTTTCTCAAATACTCATTTACTCCTGCAAATTTCATGTACACAAGTCCACAGCTTGACTAATTAAGCTCGTCAGTGTGCAAATTAATTAAACAATTGGCAGATTTTTCTCATGCATAGTGAAAATCATTGATGAAATAGCGAGAATATCTCCTTATTAGATGCATGTGTGTTTGTGTGTTATAACACGTTTTCCTTTTTCATTTTCTTCACCACTTGGGTGAACCTGTACATAATTTCTATTTATGCTTAATATAACACCAACGCTCACTGGCTCGGTATTAAAAAGAACAATTGGCAGATAAGCCGTATGACATTGATTCCTTACAGGACCTGGTTTGACCATGACAGTTTACCCATTTCTATTTTTTTTCTATTTCTTTTTTTTTATAGAAAGCTTTGCCATTTCTATTTCGCTCGAACTATGTATACTTAGTAGCTAGGAAAAGGAACTATCGATGCTGACAGATTGATCATTGTAGCCATCAAGTTGGATAAGGTGGAGGCAAAGACAGACTTCACACATATGCATCAAATGTGTACACAAAGAGGTAAATAGGTGTGTATTAACATACACAAAAATATCAGGGTACAAGCCAGTGCAGTACATAGCAAACCTCCATCTCAAACAAAAAAAAAAGATAACATAGCAAACCTATCAACATGGCAATGTGTATATACATGCAATCTAAAAATGGTAACTCAGCACGCTTATTTACAACAATAAGCCTCTCCTTACTATCAAAACATATAGAAGAATAGGCTAAACAATGGCATGAGATTGTATATTACACCGTATGGATATAAAGTTCTGGCTCCACCAATAGAATCCGGCTGTGATGATATCTTTGCATTAATTTGTTGGCCAGGAGGCGTGTTCGGGTCTGGTTGCGGCAAAGGCTGTGGCGGCGAGTTAGGGTCTGGTTGCGGCAAAGGCTGTGGTGGTGCGTTAGGGTCAGGTTGCGGTAAAGGTTGAGGGTTGTTTGGGTCTGGTTGCGGCAAAGGTTGTGGTGGCGCGTTCGGATCAGGTTGTGGCAGAGGCAGTGGTGGCGCGTTTGGGTCTGGCTGCGGCAGAGGTAGTGATGGCGCGTTAGGGTCTGGCTGCGGCAGAGGTTGCGGGTTGTTTGGGTTAGGCTGCGGCAGAGGCAACGGCGGAGCGTTCGGGTCTGGCTGAGGTAAAGGCTGGGGATTTGGGTTTGGCTGTGGTAACGGTTGGGGGTTTGGGTTCGGCTGCGGGCCGGGTTGCGGTAATGGTTGTGGGCCTGGTAGCGGTAAAGGCTGTGGTTGCGGCTGCGGTTGTGGCAGAGGTTGTGGTTGTGGTTGTGGCTGTGGCTGTGGCTGTGGGAGTGGTTGTGGCTGTGGATTTGGGTTTGGCTGGGGCAATGGTTGCGGCTGTGGCCTTGGGTTTGGAAGCTGCTGTAACTTGCGCTGTGGCCCTACTAACCTCGGCACCTGATGAGTTGCAGCAGGAAGATCATCAACCAAGCTTCCCCCAGCAAGAAGAAGCTGCAGCACCAGCAGAGGCAGCAGGAGAAGAAAGCAAGCATGGCGACGCCTCGCCATGGCCGGCTAGCTCGTGCCTGATCACCAGTAGCTAGCTAGCTAAGCTAGTTGCTGCTTGTAGTGGTCTCGGCTTCTCAGGCAGTGGACAGCAAGGGGCAACCGACCTCGAGATTTATAGCCATGGCGAGCCAATCAGCGACGCACGCGTGTTAATCGCTCCCCACGCAAAAGAAGAAGAAGAAGAAGAGAAAAGGAAGATAACCCTCGTGTCTGTTCGGTTGGATGTCCATCGGGTTGATTAATTAGGACACAAGTTAGTAATTGTAATCTGGATCGCAGGTCGTAATCTCCTGTTTATTGCTGCTATACTAAGGAGAGCTAAACATAACAGCACGGCCACTCTGCTTCAACGCCTTGTAGCCAAGCATAAAGTGTGTGTGTCTGTGGTCTCTGCTTACGTATGAGAAATCTTTTTATTTCGATTGTGGGTTTAATTTTAATTTGTTACTTTCCCGGCGTGATCGATTACAGTTACAGCACGTACCATCGCATTGATTGGCCGTCGCAATACCTAACCAAGTTGGCTACTCCATCAGATACACAAACTTTTCGCCGTAGCAATAAATCTCATCTGGTGTGTGATGTAGAAAAAAGAGCTTCAAGAACACTACTACTAAGTTCTCAAAAGAAAAAAAAAGAAAGAGAGAAAAGAACACTACTACTAGTATACTGTCCTGCACTGTGTCCGTGTGACTAGCTAGTGATAATATCTACTCCTACTGCTTATATTACATTATCTCTTCATGCGACCGAACAAACTTACTTTCAGTTACTTTATTACTCCTAGCTTATATATTTAAGATATGTTTGCACATAGAAAAAGCATACCTGAAGCGCGCTAGCTAGTGGAGCATATGTGTACTTTGTGCTCGAGAAGAAAAACTCCATCGTTGGTTGGTTGGAGCAGAGAGGTTATGTGTTCTATGGAGTACTACACCTTTCCAACTACTACTTTTTACACACGCTTTTCGAAATTACTAATAATATGTTTCTTAAAAATTTTCTATAGAAAAATTATCTTGAAAAATTATATTAATTAATTTTTAATGTTTTAAAGCTAATACTTAATTAATAATATGCTAATCTTTCGCTATGTTCTACGAGCTAGGGTACGTAAGGGTTTCCAACTCTTTTTAAGGTTCTATGTACATATGGGTTGGGAACTAATCCTTCACACATGCGAAACAGAATAATTTATCATGATTAATTAAGTATTAGCTTAAAATTTAAAAAATGATTAATATGATTTTTTTAAAAAATCAACTTTTCCATATAAAACTTAAAAGAACATATTGTTTTGCGCGGAAAACGAGAGAGGAGATGTTAGAAACGCTCAGACCTGGTTTAGTTTCTCAAAAAAATTTTCCAAAAACATCACATCGAATCTTTGGACACATGTATAGAGTATTAAATATAGATTAAAAAAACTAATTGCATAGTTAGGGGGAAAATCACGAGACGGATCTTTTGAGCCTAGCTAACTAGTCCATGATTAGCCATAAGTGTTACAGTAACTCATATGTGCTAATGGTGGATTAGTTATGCTCAAAAGATTAGTCTCGCGGTTTCTAGACGAGTTATAAAATTAGTTTTTTTATTCATGTCAAAAAACCATTTCCAACATCTATCCAAACATTAGATGTGACAAAGAAAAATTCACAACCTAAACAAGCCCTCGGTACCCAACTCCCTAAAAAACACAACCAAAGTTTCCTCTTTCTCTAGATTTCTTGCACATGAAACCTCGCGAGGAAAACGGCGTGTGGCTGGATCGATCGAGCTACAGCTTTCCGTTTCTTTTTCTCCTCCCTATGATGTCACTGATAGGCTGGCCCGACAGTGTTCGTCGCCGGGGGCCGGTGGAAAGCAGCTGCGGCGGCTGCGGGTAGCTTTCGCGAGGCACAGGATAGTCAAGAAAATTAACTTGTGTGTGTGTGTGTGGGGTGATGGATCGACACGTACTAGGAGTGGCGATCTGATCCGATATTTGCATCGTCGCGTCGATGGGGTTTAGTACTACTAGTTGTTCGTTGCGTGCGTACATGACATTGGTCGGCGCAGGCGCTGGTGGCCACACGGCACGCGCGGTCGCGGGGCGCACTGGCCGTCACATCGCCTGGGGCGCCATCGACTCGACCGTACTACGACGACGCGCATTGCGCCTCCCAGCTGAAGCTAACGCGCGCGCGCGCTGCGGCCGCCACCACCCGCGTGCGTGATGCCGATTTTTTGCGCTGTCGAAGCCCGACGAGCAGCGGGGGATCGATTCGATCACCAGCTTTGCCAGTCGTGGCTACAGTGACGACGGCGATATCAGCGGTCACTATTACAAGACCGTTGGATCAAAAGTGGAGCGGTAGTGGTTTTAGATTTTTCTTTTTCTTTTGCCAACTTAACTTTTTGTCGAGCAATATGGCTATCCCGGACATGTGCAGTGTATTTACTGGGTAGAGTTATTGTGGCGCACATATATATATATATATATATATATATATATATATATATATATATATATATATATATATATATATATATATATATATATATATATAGGGATGGGTATTCGGTCTAACCGAAAATTTCGGTCTCGGTCTTTGGTTTTTCGGTCTTTTCGGTCTTTGAAAAGTGAAGACCGAATTTCAGCGCAAAAATATCATGACCGATAAATTTGGTCTCGGTCTCGGTCCTGACCAAAATTCAACAACATTTTCATATATGCAAAGAAATAAGAGAAATTTTCAACACAAAAATCACAAAAAAAATTCGTAAGCACTTATGAGTAAAGACTCTTATTAGATTGCATGTCTAGAAGAAGTAGGGATGTGAAAATTATTAGAGTTTAATCCTATTAAACATAGTGGATTGTAGATTGCATATAGACATTTTTTGATAATTCGGTCTATCCGGTTAACCGAGGAGACTAACCAAATTGACCGAATAAAATTCGGTCTTTCACCACCTAGGATCGAATTTCTCGGTATTGGTCTCGGTCTTTTCGGTTCAGTCTTTTTCTGCCCACCCCTAGGCATATATCTCTGGAAAAAAGTCTGAGTAGCCTCCCCCTCTCCCTCGCCCACAACTATTAAGCCAACAAAACTAGGCATTTTACCCTATGTATCTCCTCACCTATGTTAGCCTTCAACCCTTCACCTATGTATCTCCTCTTCTCTCCCCAAAAGACCGGCCATTTTCACCGCCGGTGGTGACCTCTATGAGCAAGTGGGTGAAAACGGTGGCGGCGGCACCATCTAGGGCAAGCGGAGGAACCGGTGACGGCCTCCACAAGCAAGCAGAGGAAGACGGCGGCAGCGGCGCCCTCCACAATAGGCAAAGCATCCTCCTTGTGTCACCTCTAGCACTAGTCCTCCACCTTCCCGAGGGCCTCTCCTTCGCTGGCAGCTGACGAAGTGACAGGAAGGAGAGGCCCCGCACCTCGACGGCTTACCTATCGCCGTTGCTGCTGCTCCACCAAGTGGGTGTCAGTTGGCTGCAGAAGGGACGGACGCATGCTAGGATATGGGGACCAAAATTTTTCGCCAAAAATCAACTAAGCATATGTCTATTTACCATATATATCAATCCAAGTAGGATCTAGGACTTGAAATATATCAATCCGTTTAACAACCCATAGTCCACAAGCCTATATCTACCTTTCTGATCCCTGGCTGCTTTCAATCCACAAACCTATTATTGATGTAGCCAATAGTTCTCTTAATTTCATATCTCATTGTAAAATTCCTACGTCCACCACTGCGCTACAAGAGCTCACCAAATCAGAGCTCAAGCTCGAGGGTCACTGGCATTATGGGGAAAAGGGGAAGAGGAGCAGCGATGGCCGATTCACGGCGCACCCATCTCTGGATTAACCTCCTCCCTCAATGACAAAAAGCTCACGGAGCCAAGGCCAATGCCGATGACTTGGTAAAGTGTGGATTAGTCTCTTCCACAGTTCCGCCTCACACCTAGAGATAGAAAGAGGGACGAGAGTTAATGACATGCAGGGCCATCAATTATTTTTATTCATTTTGGCTGACTGGACTACCACATGTACTGTCACATTGGTCTAAAACCACTTTGTTTGAGTTAGGGAGCCACATAGCCACATAGGTCTAAAACCACTCTGTTTGAGTTAGGAGTGTAAATTGGACTGGCTTAATAGTTCGGTAGGTGATTCAGACGTTTTTCTATTCATTTGTTTTAGGTAAAATTGGTTCTAGAGTGCGCATTGAAAGTTTCGGATTTTAAGTTCCGTGGCATCGAAAATTAACGGTTCACTTTAATGGTACCAAAAAGTATATCTCTTATCCATTTTACATTCATGTCAAACTTCTGTTAGTATTTATTTATTTATTGTTTTTCCAAAAAAAAGGACATGGTATGAAGTATCAACAGTGCCCTTCTTTCTCTTCCTCCAATCTTTCCCGTGACCACTTCACACACGAACTCTGGTTGCTCATCCATGATAACCATTGGCCATCAGAGCTCCCTCAAGCTCGTCATATACACCAATCATCATGAGGTTGTTCGTACGATGAGTTTGCCCAGGGCCTCGACATCACTGAGTCCCTCATGCTCTCGTTGATGCATCACCGCTCTCTAGACTCTAGCTGCTGCAGTACTGCACAGCCAACTAGCCAAGAGTGCTCGTATGTATAATAAAGGAAGACGGGGAATGCAGGAATAAGACATATGGATGGGCTGGGGAGGCAACGGAAGTGTCGACGGAATGCTAAAATAAATAACAGAGATAACTTTCAATATTATTAGAGTGATTCATAAACTTTCGATGCTATAGAATTAATTTACCATTATTTTATCCAATGACTGCTTAACTTGCATATATTGTGATGGTACATAATCCCTGAGGACCCATTTATAAAATACTACTTTAGTCTTCTTTTTAGAAAACATGTATATCCCGTGACTTTATGCTATTAATAAATAACTAAAGGTAGTATTAATTAGTTGGATCAGATTAAAAAGGTAAAGTTGCGTATTCGGATTAGAACTGAAAAATTAACATGGTTACCAGAAGTTTTTTTTTCGCCTTGATCTGCTGCAAACTTGTAGTTGATTAGATTTTTAGTGAAATTTATTCTACAAATGGACCTCAAGTGGGTGCCAAAACAATTGACACTGATACATAATGTGTTGGCGCCAGGCAGATTAGCATCGGGTCTTGTGTGGCGATTGGCATGTGTAGAGGTTGGTGCCGAAATATGTGAGTGGTAATATTTATGTTACTAACTTTTCTCATGTATGTTTCTATAATATGAATAGAACGTACATTTGAATTTGATACAACACAGATATCTCAAATTAAATTTCATTGTGCTTTGAATTTGCTACTGTGCTATTTATACTATAGAAATATACTACTACTTAGCATAGCAAATTGGGAGGATAGCCGGCGCCAAGGTTATTCTGAAAGGTTAAAAACCT